TTCATTGCCGTAAGACTTGTCTTATGATGTATTAAAAAACTTACTTTAAAAATATCTATAAGATAAATCATACTGTATATTTCATTAATTTACAAGAAATGGTATACATTTGAGTGAACTAGATACAAAGCTGTTTTAGAATAAATAAATTGTATTTTAAATATTATAATTTTATTCTATATTGGACATAAAAGTATGAATATTATAAAAACTTATTTAATTTTGCCAAATGCCTCGCTAATTCTCTTTTTCGTTTCAGTACATTTGCTGTAATATTTTTTATTATAAAAAATGTTGAAATGCACAAAAGCTATAGCAGTAAACTAGGTTACGATATTTATAATTCACGTAATTTGGCTTAAGGCAACTGTAAAGTGAATGGCAAAAACTAAGCCCTTAAACTTTAAACAGTGAAAGTATTTTTAAATTTAAAATTTATTATTAAATTTTATAATAAAATTATCAAATTCAGGTAAGTAAGTGCGTAAATGGTTTTTTTTAATTATCTGTAAAGATACTTCAGGGCATATAATAAATTTTTTCTCTATCTTAAGAAAGTTATAGTAATTTTGTTAGTATTAGGCCATTTATAATAATTAATAGTTTTGATTACCATTGTAATTTGAATTACAAGTTTTTTTATTCGATTTTATTATAAAATAATTGACTACTAATCGAAATTCATTAACGATATATTTAAAATACTTGCGCTACGTTTTAACCTGTTATTATTTTGACCGCAATTTTCCGTAGAGGTCAAGTAGCTTAGAACATATAATGTATTTGTAACTTATTCATTAAAAGGTACGAATGATAAAAAACAAGTAATCCTCTTGTAAGTAAAACATATGTAAGCAATATGGATCAATATCATACTTGACATTTTGTTTTTAGGTGTATGTAAATTTAACATAACAATCAACTAACCTTTAGCAGAACTAAAATACTATAGTGTATTTAAAAAATATTTTATATGCTGTGATTATAAAAACAACGAAGATAATATTAAATTCTAACTATGTGTACCTAAAACATTTTTCTAGAATTTATTTTATTGGAAATCATAAAATATTTTAGTACATGTTATGTTTGTATGTATGTATGTATGTATATGTATGTATAGTACTTAAAAAAAACTACGTATGATCATTATTTTATTACTAAAAAAATAATTGAGTTAGATACATATATGATGTCTATATACATATATGATTTATGTTATAAATCTTAGTCCGAATATTTTTCCAGTGGTGGACCTTGAGTTAAACAATTCCGGCCCCTTTCCATTCATTGAGTAACGAAGGAAACTATGGACCTACGTTTACAATAATTAATTTATGTTGGAACGATCACACGTATTAATTAAAAAAAATGAACGAATTGCATATTAATTACTTTTGGTACCTGAATTGTATCTGTATTGAGATAATTAATAGATTTTAATAATAATATGAAAGACGCATAAATAACTTAAATTCTCACAGATAAATCTTAGTACCATTATATATACACGAGCGACTTACCTCACTCACCTCGATTCGCTTGGGCTCGTCCCTAGCTTAATTCCCTATACAAACTTTCATCCCCATGTTTAGCCCCTTTAGGGATGATTTTCGGGATAATAAGTATTCTATGTTCTTTCGAAAGTCTCAAACTATCTTCTTACCAAATTTCATCTAAATCGACTTAGTAGATCTAGAGATAACCCCTTACAACGTCACAAACTTTACCTCTTTATAATATTAATATAGATTATACAAATTGTAAACTTTGTTCGGAATTATTTACTACGTTTTTCAGGCAGGCAGTGGTAGCCCAGTAGGCAGTGGTAGCCCAGTGGTAACGCGCTTGCTTGGGAAACCGAGTGAAGCGGGTTCAAATCCCGGGTCCTACCTCTGAGAACTTAACAAGTTTTCGAAAGACATGTGAAGTCCGCCAACCCGCACTTGGCCAGCGTGGTGGACTATGGCCTGTTCCCCCTCGTATTGAAGGTAGGCCCGTGCCCAGTATTGGGACGTTAAAAAGAGCTGAATACATTTACTACGTTTTTCAATTATAAAAGGAGTATAATTTTATTATTGCATTATAATTTAAATATATTATGCAATTTTTACTAACTCGGTAGATAATAAAACCACAAGGAAGTCACACATATATTTTGGATAAATATTAAGATCGATATTAGTTAATAAGTAATAAAATGTTTTATATATTTGTAAAATTTTGTCTTTTGATGCATAATAAAAAATGGAGTACGAATAGCCACACGTTAGTATTCTTGCACTTATTGAGTTGCAATGAATCGTAAAAATGTAACGATATCAAGATTTTGAGGATACTTGTTGTATTAGCCCCGTCCCAATTTCAACCGGGCCTGGTGAGATAACAATGCCAAAGTGGTAGAGAATAAGGCTGAAGTGCTAAGTAACGTAAGTATTCTTGTTCAGAATAGCCTCTCTTATTCAGAATTATGCCTTTATACTTTTTGCAGTAGTAAACCGTAGACCATGTGGATGAAGTTATAAATATTTTCTTAAAAAATACCTTATGATCGCGTGATTAGCTTATATATTAGCGAGGGGTAGCTCATTTTTGTTCAAAGAAACAGTATTGCGATTATACTGGGGAATGCAGCTAACGTTCTTACTTCTATTTTAAGTGGACATGGCTTATATACTAAATATTAAATTTTCATTTGATTTTTACATATATTTAAGTGTAGCTTAGGATGAATTTGGTGAAGTTGTTATTTAATGGTAGTAATCTCGTAGGAACGTGTACATATAGTATACAAAAGTATATGTATGTATATACCTACTTAAGTAAGTGTACATAAAACTCTTGCATTGAATTTTATAACGCTAATATGGTAATTAGTAAGTCTTATCCTATTAAGGTTTTAATAATAATTACGATAAGAGATTCAAGGTGCTTAAATTTTATGACAATTGTTATAGATGATTACTTTTGTTGGGAAATATGAAAAGTGTTTTATGTTCTTTTCATATATGAAAACAGGCGTTTGCATGATAAACACATCACATAAACTTAAATAGGTTTTTTATGATATTTTAAAATTTGATAGGCTACAGATTTCATTTGAAAAAAAATATTATTTTGAAAGCCGGGTGCGGCTTATACGCAATCAAACGTTATTTGTTGCGGCGCAGCGCACCACTCGTTAATAAATAATCTGAACCCTTTCCAATGTTGAGCAATGGACTGTGAAGGATAATTTCAGTTCTATTTGTAATAGCCAGATGTTGATCTAGTTAAGGATTTAACACATTAGCACTGAATTAAATCTTGAAAGCCGTAGAATTTCTTTAGGTTTTAGTGAATACCTTCCTGAAGTTAATTAAATGTTTAATATTAATTTATTATTATTAATTTATTATTATTAATTTATACTTTATTTATTTTCACATAATAATATTCAATAAATATAAAAATGTCAATGAATGTTTAAATATTTGCTAATTAAAGTACCAAACTAAATAGATTTTTAAGTGGTCACGTCGTTACGAAGTTTCAGTAATCAATAAAATATATTAAATAGAGACTGCTTAGAATCCAGGCAAGGACGTTACGCATGAAATATGTTTCATCATGAAACAAATATTTTACCTTCTGCAGTTTAAAGTATACAAGTGCATGAACTATATCTTTTACATTTTTAATTTTTAACCTTGAGACATTTTGTGGTGACTCAATTACATATCGACTTGTTTAGGACTGTACCTACATATGTACATAAGTATCTATTGTTATGAATTACTTATTATTGAAAAATTCAAGACCACGGAAAGATATGGTCTTAAATGCATTGTTTTAAAGGGAATAGCTATGAAAATGAAAGAGAGATATTTTAATCAAAGTATTGCTTAATAACCAGGTTAAAAAATGTTTTCTTGAAAATTTCTTCAATTTTCTTCTAAAAATAAATGCTTCCTTATAATTTGGAGGGATATATCAGTAAGTTGTTAGTATTAATTAGTTGCCACCTGGAGAAATAACCGATTTCCATAAGAATGCTCTTTATAATAGATCCAAATAATTCTACCTATATCTGTCCGACGACATAAACTTATCTAAGAAATGTCTTGCTTTACACAATCATCAGGTATGGGTCATTGAGGACAAAGATTTTTATAGTTATTTACTATATAGAAATTATAAGGAAACACGATGAACACAACTTATATAACATTAGCAAGGTAATATTAATTAGAAGTAATAAGGATAACAACATATACTCGTATATGCATACATCTTAAATTAAGTTTACATATCTAGTTCTTGATCTTGTTTTACAAGTTTTATCATTATATATACTCGTAGTTTAAAATATGTGCGAATGTCAGACACATTAAAAATTACACAGCTCAAAAATAATGTATTACTTATATATTAAAACCAACTGTAAAATATGTTATTAAGTATAATTTTATAAGGAATCAGTGTAAGGATTATTTATTCTTAAAATATAAAGAGATAGATATTACAGCAATATTCCAAGTAATTATTTTGAAAGCTTTGTTCGGTAATATATGTTTAATATTTCAATATGCACGTACATCCGATATTGAGGGAAGATAAGTAAACAATCGGAAGTAAACGGTAATTACATACACAATATGTAAGTAAATCGGGATTGTTCTCTTCATAAAGGTAATTTTAATGTTAAACATAATTATCAGTTATAAAACAATGTTATTAGCCTCTACAGGAATTTTCCAAACGAACTCTGCCTTAGTAAAAGTATATGCATACTTATTTATTATTATTAATGTTACTTTATTATTGTTACTCCCAAATATATAGAAAAATTTAACTAACAATAGCTTATCACTTTCTAGAATTCAAAATTCCTCTCAGGGTCAAAATATGTTCACTAATTTTTACATCAAAAACAGCTTCTGAGTCTAATAAAAAAAGAGAAAATCCTTGACGTTTATAGTTTTTTTTTTTGTTAAAATATATAAATAGGGATTTCTTACCATAGGCGAAGCAAAGGCCCAAAATAGCGAAATGTGCACTTATTCTCATGTTGCCTGTGTTTCGTGACGTCCGCGCTTGGAACTCAGCCCGGCAGCACTGGCGCGTGCGCAAGCGCAGACCGCTGCTACCACCATCGGCGTACTATCTATAGTACAGGTGCGATTTTCTTTCAATAATATGAAATTGGCAATCAATGTTATACATCATACTTAAATTTTATTCTTTTAATTCATTCTTATTATTAAGTTAGTCATTCAAGTTTCTTTAGTTTAGAATTTATTTACATGTTAAATATTTAACATTCTTGAAGAATATTCAGACGAAAACAAAATTTCTGTAATAGTTGTTATGTTTTATAACAATTACTTACTTAATTACTAGTAATAACCAATGAATTATTGATTTTTTTCTTTTATAAAATCATATATCATTTATTTAGACAAATTAACAAGAGACAATAATATACTTCATCCAACTACCATACTATGAATATGGTAAGGCATCGTTGAGTTCGAGTTACCTATTACGAAAACGGCCATATACCTCGCGCGGCGTGCTTTGTGTGACAATATTACATGGCTATATCGACACTAGATGAGCAGTTTTAAAGTTTATATTAATATAAGTTTTTGAGCTTTAACAGAAAATAGTAAAAACTTGAGTTATGCTGTTACTTTGCGAAAAAGGATGGAATAGATGGTGAAACTTTTTTGAATGATTAGTATCCAATTCTGCATAAAAACACAATAATTGTTTCTTGCTAGTTGCAAGATCAATAAAAATTGTAACATGTAATATTTTATAAATTTTATTAATTAATACATGTCCTAGCATTATCTATCGCCTTTACAGTAGATTTTTTATTTTATGGGATCCACTTGATATATATCTATCACTTGATATACCTATGCCGTATTTTCACTATGATAAATGCTGTTAAATAAAATAGTACTAAACAAGTACTATATTTATATAGCTAAGTGTAGAAGTAGTTATTAGATTGAACTAGTTAGCCACACTAATTAGATAACCTGCCTGTCTTGTCTGTCGTTCTAAGTCAGTAAGTTAATTTTCAATTTTATTCAATTTTTTTGTTTCGTGGCTAGGCTAAGTTAAATTAAAAGAGTATGATGGTTTTTTGTTTTTGATAATGACAATTTATGGCTTAAATTGTAGTCTTCTTAAATTTTCTACATATCGGTCCGGCCGTAGTACACCTATGTGGTGTGCCACATTAATTATTATTATTGTTTTTTTTTTACTTTTATGCTTCATCTTGTGGGCAAATAGCAAATGCAAATAGCAATAACAAAATTGTCTTTAAGCGACTTTTTAAATTTTTAAGCGAAGTATACGTATGTTAAGCCAATGGTCGCCAATTTACCTATACGTTGTGTATACATTGTGTATTCTTACTTAATACTCTAACACTTTATTGCATAAAAAAATGCAAAGATTTTCATGAAAAGATAGATGTCTAATATCAATATCTTTATTTTATGGGAAACTAGCAGTACCCGCGGCATCGGTCGCATTCAAACTACTGAAAAAAAAACAAACTCTTTGACATACCGACAGCAGCACCACCTACCGGGTCCAATCGTATTTGAAAACCATCCAGGAGCCCATTGAAATATAGATACAAAATTTTATCAAATCAGTCCAGCCCTTTGAGAGGAGTAAGGTGACCAACATACGTACAAAAAGAATTATATATGTATATAGGAAATAAATAAGTTCACATCTATATTGATTATTGAGTTAACAAGCTAACTTTTTGTTTAACTTTTTGCTAACTATTTGTATTATTATTATCGATTAGTTCATCTTGATGTTAAATCGAATGAAACTGTTATTGAAAACTAGCTTACGAAGACTTTGTTTATATCTAGGTGTTCTACCCACATGTATTTACCGTTAAAATAGTAATTTCCTAACATTATAAAATAAAACTAGTGAAATTGTACAGGCAATAACAACCTTCAGTTGTTAATATTGTAATTTTGTATAATTTTCTTTGCATTAAATCACTTTAATCTTGTTACTATTATATATTAGTATTATATAGTTTAAAAAAAAAATAAAGTTTTCACCCACTTAATCATAGAGTATGCATATGGGAAGAAGCGGGCCATTCCCAACACAAGTACCCTCGGATTACTTACTGGGAAGACTCGAACACAAAAATGTAAACTGTAAATGTAACTATTTTTTTTTTTATTTAACTTGATACGGTAAAGAGCGAATTTCAAGTTTTCCATGCTTTGAATTTACTGAACTGAATTTTACAAAGTGCAGTAGCCACTACACTGGGGAAAAACATTCAATATCATTTTTCGCCTTATATTCTACGTACACCATTACGTCTCCCTTGCTGTATGAACGAGGCATCACTACATACTCGTAGTATAAAACAAAGTCGCTTTCTCTGTCCCTATATCGCTATGTATGCTTAAATCTTAAAACTACGTAACGGATTTTGATGCGGTTTTTTTTAATAGATAGAGTGATCCAAAAGGAAGGTTTTAGTATATAATTTGTTAAGTTTTTGTATACATTGGTTAAAATATAACGATATTTGTTGGAGGTGTCGGAAAAAATAAGACGTTTTGGAGCTTTCAACAAAAACGCGGCCTAAACCCTTTGAGGTATAACAAAATAATGTAGGGTGGAATTGTGTATCTTATATAGTTCTACAGAAAAGTCCCCGATAGCATATGTCTATCTCTTAAGGATAACATACTATATCCATTTTAATTTAAAACGTACCTATGGACGAACCCGAGCGAAGCGAGGGTGAGTCGCTAGTAATAATTGAAAGATAAGCATTTAATTGAAAGGTTAACTTATTCTATTAGATTATTTTAAATTATTTAGGTCACAAACAAAAAGTAACTTGAAATTTGCAGATATAATTATTTTATTAGAATAATATAGTCGAAATATACTTTTCATTGACCTTTGTTACATGATCAATTATGAAAACGGAAATATTTAATGCAGTAAAACTTGAATGAAAGTAAAGTTAAATTACGTTATAAGTTCATTTGTTGCTAAATACTGAATAAGGCTGACCATACAAAAGTTCAACTATCTATCTATATATAGTATAAAACAAAGTCGCTATCTGCGTCTGTTTGTTTCTCCGCTTACTTCTTTTTAACCACGCCGCGGATTTTGATACGGTTTTCATTTATAAAAAGACTAATAAACGAGGAAGGTTTGTGTTATATAATTTGTAAATTTATATACAAAATGACTGGACCTAGACAGTGTTTTTTCAAAAAAAGCTGTTTTCGTACGATTACATGGCTAACGCTAGTTAAACCTTTAACTAGCGTACATAAAAGTATAAAAAAATTTTAGATCTTAAAAAGGGTAAACAAAAAAGTCCGCGATAGCACGTATCTATCTCTTAAGGTACATTCACAATAACTATTTTTATCAGATACAAAACAAACCTATGGACACACACGAGCGAAGCGAGTGTAAGTCGCTAGTACAAGGAATAAATTTAAAATGTGGGAACTGACATTTTTTATCCTATTTACTCTATTAACGAATATTTTTGCAAACTATATTTCACTTTATATTCGTATAGGATATGAATATAAAATCCTGTTATTTTATGAACATTACAAGTTTCGAAATTTGTAAAGATGGATATTTGACTACTCTTTTATCTCTTTAATCTCAAACACACCTTAACCTTCTGGACTAACGGATTTGCAGAACCCTAGTATACACACAGACAATACTCTAGACTGCTACAGACGATAATTTTTACTTCGATTATGTATTGCAGAAATTTATTATAAAAATTATTATTTAACAGCAAGTATTGACTTAAGTTCTGAGTTTATCAGTAGTAGATGATGCTGTCCAAGAATTTTATAACATAAGAAAGTCCTTTTTTGAGGGTAATATAATAAATATAATAATAAAGTTTAGTAAATATTATAATAATTTATAATAAGTAGATCAAAGTATTGTACCAACAGTTGTCCTGTATAGGTACTAAAATGTAGATCTTTTGCAAAAAACATTCCTGTAGGTATAACATTACTATATTCTGTAAATACGTATACTTATACTATTTCTAGTAGAAATTTATTCAGCCCTTTTTTACGTTCCACTGCTGGGCTTGGGCCTTCCTACAATATGAGGGGAATCTGGGGGGAATCTGGCCACCACGCTGGCCAAGTGCGGGTTGGCGGACTTTCCATGTCTTTCGAAAACTTGCTAGGTTCTCTCAGACATCCAGGTTTCCTCAAGATGTTTTCCTTCACGGTAATAAAAGCGGCCATTATGTTAGAAATGATTCGTACGTGAAAATATCAGAGGTGCGGGACCCGGGATTTGAACCCGCTTCGCTCGGTTTCCCAAGCGAGCACGTTACCACTGGGCTACCACTTCCTTTTACTTACTAGAAATATATTATACTATCTGAAATTATAAATTTTATAAATACATATGTACTCGTATGTATAAGGAAAAAGATTAGGTATATTATTAAAAATTAAGATGTAAAGAAATACAATATTAAAGTACCCATTTATATACATATTTTATCAAAGATTTCTTGTTTAATAATGACAATAAATAATAATAATTGTATCAGTTACACAAGCGTTTATGTAAGAATAAGCCGAATCTTGTTGCCGAAGAAATGTTTTGGGTCAACTTGTAGCGTTATAGCATGCTGTCTGGTGTGTCTTTGAAAGTAGCCCTAAACATTATATGTACAAACATACATCGTCATAGGTACAATATAAAGAATGTTGGCGTTGGTGCATTAGAAAATGTATATAGGTGTTTAAAATATAATTACTATTTACTATTTAAATAAATTACAAAAATTAAAAATTCCGACTGCGTACGAATTAAAAAGACGAAGTAACATAATTATGCATTCGGATATAAATTTTTTAATAATGCACAATAGTTCAAAAGCAAACCTCGAAGCACGTATATATATATGTATATTGTACAATGTACATATCTGTACTAATAGGTATTATAAAGAGGTAAAGTTTGTGAGTTTGTGACGTTGTAGGGAGTAATCTCTGGATCTACTGTACTGATTTAGACGTAATTTGGTAAGAAGATAGTTTGAGATCCTGGGAAGGACATAGGATACTTTTTTTACCGGAAATCATCCCTTAAGGTGGAGAAAATGGGAATGGAAATTTGTATGGGGAATCAAGTATCAACCTAGGGACGAACCCAAACGAAGCGAGGGTGAGTCGCTAGTACATAATATGTCTCCGACTGCATAATATTATTTTCCTTCGTTAACTTATTCCCTTCTTTTTTAGTTCGCATTTTATGTATTCGGATTTTTTTATTCTGTAAGGAAGAATTTCAAATGTCTACGTACAATAGTTTAAAAGACACAGGCACTTAAAGGTATGTAGCGTTTTTTATGCCGATTAGTACCCACCCCATACAGAGAAATTGGACTTATTGGCTAATTCTTACAAATTCATTGAATAATGGCTGATTTTACAATAATCAGCAAACTTGAAAATATGATAAAAGAAAATATTGTTTCATTTTTTATTATTAATTGGAGTATATTTTTATATAAAGTATTTTTTATATTTTACTAGTTTAACACTAGTTAATATATATGAAAAAAACGGTGAAATCTACATAAAATAAAGCAATTTCCGCGATATTGCCGATTGATAAAGGGACAGTCCTTAGTCAAGCCAAGTTTGAGGACTCGTCTCAGAGGCACTGGCGCCACTATCGCAAAAAAACCGCGTGTTATTGAGTATCCCAGAACGGCTCGTTCTGATTATTCTGATTATTCTACATAAAAGCTTTGGATTTTTTTCTTTTTTAAATTAAATTTTCTTTATTAATTTGTTTTTTCCAAAATCAATATTTCTCTAGATATCGTACTCGAAACGCACAAATTTCGCTACTTTCGTCGGTTTTTCGCGATATCTCCCTAACCGTTCACTTACATGGAATTTTATTTATTATCAAAGTTATAGTTCTTTTAATTACCTACAACTTATATTTAAAACTTTTTTTACTATTAATAATATTTAAAGACAAGTGTGTCTATTTACACATATTTTCATTTTAGATGATATTTTCATTTAGTTCACATCATAACTACAAAACGTAATGCCTAATATGCGATAACTTATTACATATAGGAAGCAGGAATAAGTATCATATGGTCTCATCAGGAACAAAGAAAAAATAGTTCAAATAAATGCCAATAGTTGGTATTATAATATGTATTGAATTTTTTAAATAAAACTATATTTTAGGATTTTTTCACAGATTTATTTTGACTTTTGGTTCCCGAAGTTGCGAACGCTCTACAGCGATCATGGTTACGTAAGAGACTAAGGTTTCAGCGTCTCAAAGGTGTCATATAGTTGTTACAGAAAGCCTACCCACAAAACAACAAAATAAATTAAAAAAATACAAAAATGGGACCAAAGTACCTTATAATAATATTTGTGGATTTTAATTTTAAAGATTTTTATATTTTTTGTATTTCATGAATATACGTAACCGAATATTGAAAAATTAACGATTACGTAACGAGTTTTTACTACATATTTACAGATGTCGCATTTATTTTCTATGAGTTGCTTATCACGGTTAAAAACTCACTGTTTGTTCAGTTAAATTCAGGACGAATTTTGCAATATTTATCGTATTTTAGTTTACAAATATTTATAAAATAAAAAAGTTCGACAAATTGCGGATTTACAACATTATATCATAATGTACTTATAAACAAAAACAGCCCGAAGAATATCGGAATATTAGAGGCTATCCAAATTCTTTGTTTAGGATGAGGATTCTTTGTGTCTGTACTAGTATAGTATTATGTGATCTGGAATAGGTATATATTTTATAAGTAACTTTGTCCTTTACATTCACAACTAAATAAAACTAAAAAATTAGGAATATATCACTATTTATTTAAATTTTAACACTAATAGTAATTTCTTAAAAACTAATTACGCTTTTTTCGGTGTCTTGCTTTTCTCTGTGGATTGACCTTCATAGTAGTTTTCACTGAAAAAATAAAAAATGTACCTATTTATTGTATCTATCTTAGTATAGTTCTAGTCAAATCTAGTTCTAGTAAATCTACGTATAGAATAAGGATTCGATTTTACTTAACAAGTAAGTTATAATTATGAAAAGACAATATAATAGGTATTTAAGTAACATATTTTTTTTAAGAATACGTTTCTCAGCATCAATAAGGATGTAATCCTTTACACCCGTTTTCCTAATTATAATATTATTATCAATTTTCGGATAATTAAATGTCACCCCAAAATGTTTTTATTTAAAAATGTCTAAACATCTACTGATATATTAAGAAATTAATTACCATCCGGGGACTTTCTCTGGGTCGTCGCACATAAACGTGTCTTCATTGTATACTTTGCCTGAAGGACAGCTGCCCTTCTGAGGCTGGAGGCTATTACGGCAGATGTAGAATTTCTGGCAATCTTCGGGATGAGGGAAGGTCGGGTGAGGTAAAGGGCGTCCATTAGGTCCCATTACTTCACCATCAGGGCAAAAGAAACCGTCGTCTAAAGTGTCTGTAAACAATTTTGCAAAAAATTAATTAGTTGTAGCAATTATTATTTTTATTTCAAATAACGGTAGCAATATTTTTTTTATATTTCTCGTATTTTATTTATTTTTAAAGAAATGTATTATGAAACGTAAGAAAACCTAGTATTTATCAAATTGAAAATATGTAGCTATGTATTACACAAGCTATCGCTAAGCTGTTACGAATTTCTTAAAATAAATAATATTTTTGAGTGCAAATACACCATGCCACGTAAATAGTAATAATTTATCCTTATGGACTTTTACAGAAGGATGTAAAAATGTATTCACCCTTAGTAATCGCATCACATTTCCTATGCACCACTTCCTTCCAGTCGCAGTTGGAGGATTCTTCGTCGAAGTATAGACCGGGAGGGCAAGGCAATTCATTAGGAATACCATCAGAACAGTAGTAGAACTTGTCACATGCCTGTGGATGGATAGCAATTTTTATATTTACATATGTTTTCGAATATTACTTTATTGTAAAGTATAAATAATAATTTTAATTCTACCTGAGGATCAGGATGCTTGAAATATCCATTCTGTCGTGGACAACCCTTAGAGGGTTTGGGTTCCTCTGTAATTAAAAAAATGTTAATAAATGAAAATTATATTTTAAAGAATATAATTTGTAAAAAGTTTGTTCTTATTTTTCTTTTACTGTAATAAAAAATATAAAAAGAATAGTTCATTTATAAGTAATATACTTACGTAATTCTTTTCTGTCACCACAGTCAACGTTGGAGGGGATGTCGCAGAGTTCTTTGTTAGGGTTCTCATCAGCAAAGACTAAGCCATCTGGGCATAGTTTTGTTTCCGCAGTGCCTTTAAAAATAAAAAAATAGTAAATAACTTTTAAGAATATATAAAAAAGTATAAGTATCTAATAAATTAAGAAACCAAATAATATTCTATATTTTTAATTTACCATTAAAAATATATTTGTTAATATTTTTTTATCTAAAAGAAACAAAATACAGGGAAAATAGAGAGAAGAAGAGAATTGACAAATTGTATTCGTTACGTTACTTATCGTTCAATAATAATAATAATTCGGCATTCATTCAATAATAATAATAATAAAAAATAAAGATTTTCACCACAGCGGCCAATCTCATTGAGAGTAGCCATCTGCGCGGGAGATATTATAGTGCAATAACAAGTATACTCGCAGACACGAGTGCACTCTCTATTCCTGTCACTCTTATACTCCTATGGGACGACTACTCGACAAGATCAGTGAGAATTAAGGCGCAGGACCAAAGGCTTAATGTGCTCTCGAGGCTAGGGGTAAAACACCGCCAACTTTCCAACTCCGGGCTGGTACTGAGTCTTACTAAACAGAAAAACTCAATAACTAAATTTGGCCCAGGACTCGAACCCAGGACCTCCGGATGTACAGCCATCTATGCTAGCCACTATACCGCTGAGGCATATAATACAACCCATGAGAAACTAAAAATTTGGTGTTCCCACAAATGATAACATTTTAAACCCCGTGTAAATTCCAAGTAGCGTAAATATATTTAAATGTAACAAAAGTCTGATTTGTATTCCATTGCTATACATGTTGAGCTTTCACTATATTCTTATTATAATGACTTGTCTAAAATGTGAGAAATAAGATATTAGTATGCGCAACAGAACCTTACACATGAACGCTTTAAAAATAAAAAGCGATACGAATTTATTATATTATTGAACCATTACCAAATTCAATGCTTTTAAAAAGAAATCAATTTAAAATGCAAGAATTTAGTCATTGCTGAAATATACTATCTATGATCTAACCTAGAATAAAATTGCAAAATGTGGACGACCCCTATAATAATTTAATTTTCATTCAGCGTATTCAATTATTTTTGCATTACAAGAACTGTCAATTAAAAAAATACGGAAATAGTATAATGTCTTTAAGCAATATACATAATAAATTAAAATTATTGTATATATTATGATATACGCCTAACCGTAACCTCGTCAAGTAAGAGTAAACTAGTTTTGGATAATTATTGTAGCATTGCTCATATATGTGGCGTATCGACTATGATTGTCACTATATTTGAATATTATAATTAATAAAAAAATATAAAATTACGAAACTTCTAGATTTCTATCATGATTATGTTATTAATTTTGATAAGGTATTTGTGGAAATGATTCTTATAATATAACTAGCATAGCCCGCGGCTCCGCCCGCGTTCAGATAACCAAAAACAAAATTTTTAGGTTTTACATATTAGTGTACTCTTACATTGCAGTTTTTGTATTTTTCTCAGAAATGAGAAATTTTCCCGCGGTAAAAAGTATTCTATATGTTGACCCGGATCGGCTATCACCATACCAAATTTCATCAAAATCCCCCCAGTGGTTTTTCCGTGATGTGGTAACTAACAGATAGACAAAAATTCAAAAAACTATAGATTCGCCCTCGGTATCGATAATAATGTTTATTTAAATAAGATTTTCCATAAAATATTTAATGTACAGATTCGGCTTAGTTACAATTTTATTATATGTATAAATAAAATAAATAAGCAGTGACAAATTATACGATTTTAGGAAAATATATTATGTAATTTGCATTGACTCTCAAACTTTCACATATTTAAATATTATGGGAAGGAATGACATCGTGGCTGTGTTAGTGTGCAATCATGTGTATGAAGGTAAGTGACATTTAAGTGACATGTTGACCTTTCACAGAAGATACTGACCTCTGCTGCATTTATAATAAAGGTCACATTGGTATGGGTCTGGGTAGAAACCACTCTTCTGTGGACAGTCAAAGTCTTGCGCTGAAACTAAATAAAACATGATTAAGTATTAACGTCAAATTAATATATTTTTGACAGACTCCAAAGACTTATATGATCAATCAATATTCATAATTATTTTTTAATAAGTTTGAAGGTTCTCCTCAAGGACGACGCCATATAAAGCTACTACGATATTTAATGCTTTTTAAAATAACCTTTGAAACATTGCCTACGGATATACCAAATTAATGATTTCGAATTAATTATTAACAAGATACGGAAAGCATTAAGTGATTACGTTAATCTAAGTACGCAGAATCGCTTAAAAAATAATTAATATAATACATCTAGACAGTTTTTGTAATAGGACCGTTATTAGGTAATAAAATTTATTATTATGGTAATATATAGTAGAGCCACTAAGATACAATTTATCAACTTCGTTATACACAATGGTACATATAAGAATGACTTAATCATTAATAGAACAAATGTATGGTAATTATCCGTAACTACAATGTATTGGATGTCGTTATAAATATAATACCTTATTGTATGAGAAAAAATCACGATCACGATTGCCGAATTTGCTCCAATTTACGCTACTTACACACAGGCCATTTAACACTATTACAGCCTTATAAGTTTCGAAAATCCGATATGCCGTGACAGCGTTCAATAGTAAAATTGCCCTTGCAAAACATGTATTAAGAAATTACAGTACACTAAGTATTTAAGGACACGTGAGTGAAAGGAGGACTTGGTATTGTTTTATTTTTTATATAGGTAGGTATAAATAGGTACTAGCGACCCTTGCTACACTCGAACCTACTACCTAGGTGCCATTTTATTCATGATATTACTAACGGGAAGTGCCACCTTTTGATTAATTTTACTACTAATAGTAGCTTAAGGGATACTCTAGGTCATAGTTTATCTGTGTACCAAATTTCATCAAAATCCGCCTTGCTGTTTTAGCGTGATATATTAACGAACAAGCACACATATAAAAACTTTCGCATTTATAATATAAGTATGATTCCCAGAATATTAGGGTATAGCTTAAATTGAAGTTTTAACACGTGTTATGTCGTCCTTTATTGCTAGTACCATTTACTAGCCTTTAAAGTTTCTAAAATAAAATTTGGAAGCCATCGTTCTTATATAAAGTTTTGCGTATTTACAACCGGGTAGGTGGAGAAAGGTGTTTACGCGATCTTATTTCGAGGCCTGTGGTCTCATTCAGCTTGAACCAGGAAGAAATTTCTAGCTTTCTAATAATTTTGATTAATTTATATAAAAAGTCTAAGTAGTATTAAAAATCACTCAAAAATTACCGAATCTGCTCTAAATGTTTGCCTAATAGCATTACATCACAGGTCTAAATGCGCTTAGAGTGCCTTAAGGTACATATCTACATACGAGTACATATCTTTTATTCAAACTAGTTTTGAATAACTTGGTTAACATTGATTGATTACCCTCATTATGCGAGCTACATTTGAAAGGAAGAAAGTAATGAATTTGCAATAAAACTCGCAATAATTTATCTATACTTCGTCACTTCTTACGATGTTTCAATACAATTTGTTTAATTTTGTGTGAAATAAGTAAATAAGTAACCACAATATTGTGGTATTTGCATCGCGTCCTTGATACATTACAGTTACTTTCATAACCCTTAAGGAAAGGAATTCTCGGTATAATTTAAAATTTAAGCGATAAAATAAACTTAACTTTATATATCTAGATATAATTGGTGATTTGTGACCGCAATGAAGCAATTTGCGCTAGAGCTTTTACTTGTGTTCAGCTTAAAAGCTATACGCAAGTTATATTCTCCAAGTTATTATAAAGCACTGAACCGGTTTGCTCAAAATCTTAAATCATGACGGGTATTCGTAACTATGTTAAGTTTAACACTTTCATTTGAATAAATATTTATATTTTGCCTAAATATTAAAATTAAATGCGACTTTCTTTTAAATTTGTCACCGTTAGAAATAGGGCAATATTATTATATTAAAAAAATAACTTACCTAATGCACAAACAGCGAAGGCGACGATTAGACTTCTCATGTTGGAAACTAACTGATATTTTTTTTAGGAACCCAGGCACGTGCGGTTCCTCTCGATGGTCGGTCTGTATTGCCGTCGAGGTAAGCATTGTAACCGGCGCCGGCGCAAGCAACTACACGACGTTCAGCGAAAGAGGCTGCTTTCCTCGAATTTTGGTTTGAGCTTTTTTTTGATCGTGACAAATGATAATAAGTAGTAAGTCCCGTATTAGATCAGTTTAGAACTTGTACATGTAACTTTCTTGTTTCATTTATTATATAAAAAGCTATGATACCAACTAAAGGTATCAACTAAATACATCTATCTACATTAATGGATGCAAAGCTTGATATTTTTTGATGTTTTTTAGAAGTTTTATGTTGAATATTTGAATTGAATACTTAAAGTATTTCATATACCATTAAACGAGCAATAATTGTATATTTGTAATCACGTTCTCGAAAACGGCTCTAACTATTTCGATGTGCAATATAGTGGTTTACGGAGGCGAAAAAACTGCGAAAATTCGTTTTTACCGTATTTTCACGTAAAAAGATTTGACCGCGCAATAGGCCGCCATATTTATTTTTATAATATTAAGTGAACAGTTCAAATATAATATATAAATTTATTTAGTGTATTTTGGAAATTGCTCAAACGATTTGGAACATATTTGTATTTAGATAAGGTTTCGTTTTTTAAGTATATTTAAAATATTAATAGTTTTTCATTAATTATTAACATTTATTTTATTATTCCTAATAATATTTAATACAGGATAATCTAATATTTGAACGTGCAATAGAAATGAAAATAATTGTGATCAGTAATTTGTCATTTTTAAGTTATAATAAGTTGCGCTAGAGTTTGTCGAATGTATTAGCAGGTTATTCCATTGAAAGTCGAGGTAGATAGGAAAAAACCCATAAGCATGTATTTATAAAATGTAAGATGGCGGATATATAGTAGTACCCTCAAATTAAACATCTGAAGGTCAATCTCATGGAGTTGGCAAATATTACGATATTTTAATAGTCTTAGTAGCTTAAATAAATATTATTCAACCTCTACTAAGAAAGAGGCGTTAATGGCGATATTTTATTCATGTACTTATATAAAATACTAGCGACTCACCCTCGCTTTGCTCGGGTTCGTCCTTAGCTTGATTCCCCATACAAACTTTCATCCATTCCCATTTTCACTCCCTTAGGGGATGATTTCCGGGATAAAAAGTGTCAAATTCTATGTCCTTCCCAGGGTCTCAAAATATCGACCGATTTAGATGAAATTTGTTTCATCTAAATCGGTTCAGTAGATCCAGAGATTACCCCCTACAACGTCACAAACTTACAATGTCACAAACTTCACCTTTTTGTAATATTAGTATCGATGGTATAAACTAATAGAATAGTTCTTTCTTACTAAAATCATAAACCTTTTTACATTACAGTAATAAAATAGTGAAATAAATAGTTGTTTTGTGTCTCATTTTAATAATTATAACAAAAACTACATAAAGAAAGGTATCAGTGTTTTACATATTATCAATCAGGCAAACTCATCATAATTCCAAATTCTTTAATGTGTATTATTGAAATAAATAAAAATAGTAAAAATACCACTATATATAAATTCAATTTGCCTAAAACAATTGAAAGGCATTCTATGTCAATGCATTTATTAGTCATTGAAGGTTGCGAGAAATACTCGTACTCATTAGGTTACTTCCTTAGACGATTCAAGACACGTGCCCCGCTTTGTAATGAATCGTTCCTGGGATACTTTACACTCTATATTATAAATTTAGATTTACAAAACTAGTTCTTATTACGAGCAGCGTATAAGTGATAGAATAATTGGAATGTACGGTCATTCATTTATTGTTTCTATGAAAGCACGAAGTGAGTCGCCTTAGCCGGACTCGATGTTTCCAATAAAGCATTAAGCGGTTCGATTTCGCCCTATTTAACTTTTTAAGACCTACAGTTTTATAAAAAAATATTATGGACATGGAATTTTAAAAGAATGTAAATTATTACTGTGGTGAAACAACGTATTAATAAATTTAAAACGCTGAACTGTTTACATAAAATAATTTAATTATAATATAAAAATAATGATCAAATAAAATATATTATTATTAAAAAATAATAATAAAAAAACTATTTAAAAGTCTTTAAAGTTTATTAAAAATATTGTATAATTTAATATAAAAATTAAATAACCTATAACCATGTATACATACTTACATAATATATACTAACTTACAGGGTTAAGGGTATCCTGATAGTGTTCTAATTGATGTAAAGAATTCTTTTTAATTCGAATGTGTCATATTAATAATTATTCTAGATGTAATAATAAATTCATTTCCTTTATAAAAATATGTGGAATTAACGCACGTATTATTTTTCAATATACCCTATACTTATTCTTGTTTAAATATTATTTTTTAATTATTTTTTATCCTTCTAGGAAGAACCTTTCCGTTTCTTTTATAGTAACCTTCATACAATCATCTTTTTGTTTAAATCAGGTACTTTATATATTATGTACATTATTGAAAAAAACTTTTATTAGTATTTATATTTTCAACTTAAGCCTTTATTTTTCATTATTATTACATTATATACATAAATAGCATTTTAAAAACTGATAATCTTTCTCTCATTTTTAAATATTTTAAAATACTGATTTAATCAATTTAAAACACTGATTTCTTTTATTTTAAAGTATCGTCAATGATCTATCCTATACTTATTTATGACGATCGGACCGTACATATTGTAAGTATGTTATATTGTTAATCGACTTCCAAAAAGGAGGAGGTCCTCAATTCGTCGGAATCTTTTTTTATGTATGTTCACCGATTACTCGAAGACGCCTGAACCGATTTGGATTTTTTTGTTTCAAAGGTTATACTTCTCAGGTAGTCCCATAAATTTTTTATCAAATCGGTCATGCAGTTTTTTTAAAATTAACAAATAAATTATTTTTTTAAATAAATTGCTTAATCGAACATGTTATTAAAAACACTTTCTTCTAACAAATTACCTGCTTATTACGTCTACACTAAAAATGGACAAATAAAAAACCTAAAAAAAACCGACTTCCAGGCACTAAAATGTAAAAAATAACTAAACGGGGGTTTTAATTTAGAAAAAACGATACCCTATCAGATATTTTCGAAGTCGGTGCCAGCCGACAATATTTTAAGATATGAATATCTAATAGGTAAATATGTATTTTACGTATAGAAATATAATATATATAGATTAGATTTGCTTTGCATCGGCTGGCACTGACTTCGAAAATATCTGATTAGGTATTTATTCTAAATGAAAACCCCCGTTTAGATATTTTTTACATTTTAGTGCCTGGAAGCTGTTTTTTTCTTTTTTTTTTAAAGTTTTATTTTGAAATAAAAAATTGCCTGTCACTTTCCGAAATGGTCATAGTGTATTTATCAATAAGAGAAATCCTCCAAAAATTAAGAATTATTTTATGTTTTATAAAATATTACATAATTCCTACGTAGATCCTTATGGGATGGATTCTACTACTCTATTTCTACTTGCTCTGCTTAGACTGTTCTAAAACGGTACACATCAAAACCACTGGTAAGTAATGGTAAACTAAGAACGCTAATTCGAAAGTTTTTTGAAATATATGAAAAAATATATTAAAAATCCTTTAGTAAAGATATCGCGTAACAACAGGCAAACAAAAAAATAGAACATAATATATATATAGTTGGTACCTCTGTCTCTTGGAAGTTCATAAAAAATTAGAAAGCATAAGTAACATTAAAAAAAAATTCTACCGATTCCATAGTAATATCATAAATGTGAAAGTAACTCTGTCTGTTACAACACATCGAACAGATTTCGATAAAGTTTGGCAAGGACATATCATGCAGATTGCGTCCTGAAGATGGATGCTCCTTTGATCTCCGCCCCAGTTACCAGGCGAGTGAAGCTGCGAGCTAAACCTAGTATTATATATTTTAGTATTCACTTATAAGGTCACGTAATAGTAGGTATATACATATATTTAAGTAATTGACATAGATTAAATTGGGCAATAAAAATACTGTATATAATAAACGTATATAATCTTTATATAAAATGCTTAATTACCGTAATTGTGGGTCCTTGCGATAAAATAAAAAATAATAATTACATGTTATCAAAAATTAGGTTAGGTTGTTGCAATTTTGTAACATTATAATTAGCCATTTCGATCGATTTTATTGCATCAGCATTAAAATGTGTTATATAAAAAATGTATGTATACAAAGTCCAACAACATAAAGATATAGGTACTCTTATTTCAAAAAGGCATTTTAGCCAATAAGTATAGTGTAGTATAAAACTTATGAAAGCTTGCGAACTAATAAGCTTAGTAATAATAAATATAATCTGAAATTAAACGTGTGAAAATCCTTGGTTCTTTACGGGATATACTTTATTTGAGATGCATAATATTACATTTAATTTTATTACTAGAAAAATGGGGCGAATTCTTTTGTTTTGTTTAGGTGACATGTATCGTATACAGCCCTTTTTAACGACTAACTGCTGGGCACGGGCATCCCTTCAATACGAGGGGGATCAGGCCATAGTCCACCACGCTGGCCAAGTGCGGGTTGGCGGACTTCACATGTCTTTCGAGAACTTGCTAGGTTCTCTCAGACATGTAGGTTTCCTCACGATGTTTTGTTTCACCGTAAGGCAAGTGGTAATCACTAATCATGTTAGAAATGATTCGCACGTGAAAATATCAGAGGTGCGAGAGCCGGGATTTAAACCTGCTTCACTCGGTTTCCCAACCAAGCGCGTTACCACTGAGATACCACTGCCTTTAGGTGACATATAACTTTTAAGAAAATGGCTTCTTAAAGTGATTTTTTCTAACAAAAAGTTGTCATTATTATCATTCATATTTATTTATCATTTATTTCTATAAGACATTTAATATCTTTTAGGAACTTTATAATGGTGTGTAAAATTTGATAGCTC